CTATCCCATCTATTCTATTCCATTCTATTCTATATTAATTCTATTCAATTCTATATTAATTCTATTCAATTCTATATTGATTCTATTCTATTCTATCCCATCTATTCTATTCCATTCTATTCTATATTAATTCTATTCAATTCTATATTAATTCTATTCAATTCTATATTGATTCTATTCTATTCTATCCCATCTATTCTATTCTATTCTATTCTATTCTATTCTATTCTATTCTATTCTATCCCATGTATTCTATCCCATCTTATCTTATCTTTTCTATTCTATTCTATCCTATCCTATCCCATCTATTCTATTCTATCCTATCCCATCTATTCTATTCTATCCCATCTATTCTATTCCATTCTATTCTATATTAATTCTATTCAATTCTATATTAATTCTATTCAATTCTATATTGATTCTATTCTATTCTATCCCATCTATTCTATTCTATTCTATTCTATTCTATTCTATTCTATTCTATTCTATTCTATCCCATCTTATCTTTTCTATTCTATTTTATCCTATCCTATCCCATCTATTTTATTCTATCCCATCTTTTCTATTCTATTCTATTCTATTCTATTCTATTCTATTCTATTCTATTCTATATTAATTCTATTCTATTCTATATTAATTCTATTCTATATTAATAATTCTATTCTATATTAATTCTATTCTCTCCTATCCCATCTATTCTATTCTATTCTCTCCTATCCCATTTATTCTATTCTATTCTGTCCTATCCCATCTATTCTATTCTATCCCATCTTTTCTATTCTATCCCATCTTTTCTATTCTATTCTATTCTATTCTATTCTATCCCATCTATTCTATTCTAATCTATTCTATATTACAGGTAGTCCTCAACTGACAACAGTTCATTTAGTGACCGTTCAAAGTTACAACGGGTCTGAAAGCGAATTCAAGTTTTCTTTACCAAGGTCATTTGGGAAACATTACCGTTTTCACACAACTGCTTTATTTACATAGCGATAGTAATAGGTGTTTGTGCGTTTCCTGGATAGCCAGAAAGTTTTAAAAACTTCGTTTTTTAAAAAAGGGGAGGAAATAGGTATATTAGATTCCGAAGAATCTAATAATCTAATTCGTTCCAGTGGCTTCTTTGATCTAAAGAAACATTCACCCCAACAAAACTATCAGTGTGCCATATACGGAGCAGGGTGTAGAATCAGCATTAATTTGAGAGAATTCCATTTTATAGCCTTGTAAATTTGAGAAAAAGCCATCGTCACTTACATGGTACTATTTCAGATACGTTAAAAGTGTACAAAGAGCTATTGAAGACTGGAGGAAACTCATTGACCGGCTCAATGTCAATATAAATGTAAATCCGTTCTGTAAATACAGCAAGTAAGAAGATCGTGAAAGGTGACACAGAAACATAAACCTCATTTAAAAATATTCTTTTTTCCTGAAAAAGGATCGGGGGAGGGAACAAGGTAGGGAACAAGAAGAAAAGTTCATACTAACCAGAAAAGAAAGGCTTAGAAACATCCTGGATGAGGGTATTCAGAATATATTGTCTCTGCAGGCTTCCGTCGGTTGTGTTTTCCAAGTCTACATTTCCTGTAAGCTTAAAGTAACATTCTTTTTACGGGCAGTCCTTGATTTATGACGGAAATTGAGCCCAAAATTTATGTGGCTAAGCCACACACAGTTGTTAAGTGAATTTTGCCCCATTTTACGACCTTTCTTATCACAGCTGTTAAGTGAATCAGTGCGGTACATAAGTTAGTAACATGGTTGTTAAGTGAATCTGGCTTCCCCACTGACTTTGCTGGCCAGAAGGTTGCAAAAGGGGATCACACACAGCGACCGTCATAAATATGAGCCGGTTGCGGAGTGTCTGAATTTTGACCCTGTCATCACGGAGATGCTGCAAAGGTCGTAAGTGTGAAAAACTGGCCATAAGTTTCTTTTTTTTCCAGTACTGTTGTATTGTTGTAACTTTGAGCACTCACTAAATGGACTGTCGTAAGTTGAGGATTACCTGAAATTGATTGCCATATTATTTTTCTTTGCTGTGATTTTTTTCTAACATTTTTCAACAATTTCCGAATCACTCCAGAGCGGTACAGGAATTGTGGTCCTTAAATGCCACGGGGATATACAGGCAGTCCTCATTTTACAACCTTTCATTTAGTGACCATTTGAAGTTGCAACGGAATTGAAAACTGTGATTTACAACCAGGTCAACTTCTAAAGTTGCCACGGTGAGGAAATGGGGGAGTGCATTCCACGTACACTTTTGGCTAGAGTTGGAACTCATTACCGTAGCAGGCTTGGGAGGGGTGCACCTCATTGGGGAATGTGATTTATGACACAGACTGAGGGGAGGGAAGGAACAGGGGCAAAGTTCAGCTATAATTCAAATAAGGCTCAGATCTGACTGATTAAAAGGTCTTGCCAAAATAAATGCTCCTAATAAATGACTAATTTTCTTTTGAAATTTGGCTCGAGACTCATGAATCAATGAGGGCATTTTTTGGAAACCTGATAACATGATTGTAGGGGCACTGCAACTATCAAAAGTGCAAGGACAAGTTGTCTCTTTTTTCAATGCGAATGTAACATTGAATGGTTGCTAATCATCACTAAATGAATGGTCATAAATTGAGGACATCCTGTTTTTTTTTTAAAAAGCAGGCTTTAAAAAAATTGTGTTCCTATAGCTCTCTCTCAAGTACAAAGTGCCACTGATTTTATATTCATGGTTCTTCCTTAGGAAAGGGTAACTACGTCGCTAGTCATTGCTGACTCTAGGGGGTGCTGCTCATCTCTGTTTCAAGGTCATTGAGCCAGCATTGTCCGAAGATATTCCCGTGGTCATGCGGTCAGCATGACATCACAGAGCTCCGTTCCCTTCCCACCGAAGGGGTACCTATATATCTACTCTCATTTGCATGCTTTCCAACTGCTAGGTTGAGAAGGAGCTGAGGTGAGGACGGGAACTTACCCCATCGTGTAGCAATCGGGTTTCGAACCTGGACTGCTGGCTTTCCAGCTGACAAACCGAGCATCTTAACCAGTAGAAAATGTCTGGACCAAATGTAATTTCTAATGTTGGATTTTCCTCCTCACCAGAGGGAGCCCCCTTGTGGAGTACTGTGAAGCCGTTACCACGGCAACTCCACTGTGCTGTACAGTGGAAGCCATTTTAAGGCAGTGCACTAATAGCCATTTTAAGGCACAACAGGCTGTATCTTAACAGAACAC